GGGGGGGGAGAAACCCGGGGGAAAAAAATTTTTTTTTTTGGGGGCCCGGGGTTGGGCCATAAAAAAAGCCTTTGGGGGGGGGGCCCGGGGGGGCCCCGGGGCCCCAAACAAAAAAACCCGGGGGTTTTTTTGGGGGGGCCCCGCCCGCGCCGCCCCTTTTTGCCCCTTTTTTTTTTGGCCCCGGGGGGGCCCCCCCCGGGGAACCCTTTTTTTTCCCCCCCGGGGGGGGGGCCCGGAAAAAAATGTGTTTTTTTTTTTTAAAAGGCCCCCCCCCCCCCCCAAAACCAGGGGGGCCCAAAAAACAGGGGTGGTTTTTCAGGGGAAAAAACCCCCCGGACCTTTTTTTTTTTTCCTTTTTTTTGGGGCCCGGTTTAACCCCGGGTAGGGGGGGCATTTTTGGGGGGAAAACCCGGGGCCCCGGGGGGGGAAAAAAACCCCGGGGGGGGATTTTGGTGGGTTTTTTTGGCCGATTCCCCTGTTGGATCAAAAAAGGGGTTCGGGGGGGGGGGAGGCTCCCCCCCCCCCCCCCCCCCCCCCCCTCAATTCGCTCTCTACCACGGCGCGTCTTGACTGTCACGTTTGTATCTCGTGTGCGCACGCAAGGTGGAGATCGTGTTTCCGGTGGCCTCGGAGGCCATGACGGCTACTGGGGAGTCTGGCGACGGCAGCATGCAGGTCGTCCCGGGTGTTTCTGGTGAGACACTGTGTTTTGGAATCACACATAACAGCAGTAGTGGTCCCGATATAATGCCGGTCGCCCGGTATAATGCCGTTGACATAGTCTGACACAGGTGGAATATTCAAGGTGTTTAATATCTGAATAATGCCGGTTGCCCGCTATGATGCCGGTGAAATCAGCTGGATCGCACCGGCATTATTCCGGGACCACTACTGTATACATACAAGCAAAGAGAGAAAGTTTGCCCGTTCGAGATATAACCTTAGTCGAAGGGGATGGGTTGAAGCATTTTCAGTGAATGGATGTTGTTACCGCTCTCTTCTTAGACTTGGTCAACCGGTATGTATCCAGCCGTTCGGTTTCGATAACCGTTTTGTTGTGCCGCTGTTTTTGCTCGAATTTCTGAGAGGGGGGTTCCGCAACTCGCAAATGAGAACCACGCATCTGCACAGACCACTTTCGCCTTGTGCTCGGCGAGAAATCCATTAGCGTTGCCTGGGCGTCCGTTCGGTGGTAAATAAGAGACCTTGGTCGGATCGACGCACACGAGCGATACGCCGCCGTTCTCCCGAAACGTCAAACTACCTCCCGAGGTAACGTAGGTGACACAAGATACCACACCCCCTGGACCGATTTTCAAAGCTCGATTACTCCACAGCAGAAAGGGTGGCGGTGCCGAAAATATCGACGTTAGAACCGTCTCGTCGAAAGCTTTCCGAAAACGCATCGTTTCATTTATGTATCATGTTCGTCGTGGAGTAATCGAGCTTTTGAGAATCGGTCCAGGGGGTGTGATGTCTTATGTCACGTACGGTGGTCGTCTCCAGGAGAGCCGGCCCGTCTCGGTCTTACAAAAAAAAAAATGGCTATTTTCTTTCAGTCTTTATCTGGTATGTTTAGGGTGGCAAAACGGCGTGTGAAGACTACTGCCGTCTGTCTAGGCCTTGGTTACGGGCGCGGCCTGCCTGCCTGGCACCGGAACCCATGACGACTACCCGCACGGCAAGATCAGACGAGGGCGTTGATGATCGCTCGTCCGTTGCCTGGATGGCAGGTCCTTCCCGTCTAGCGGAAGCTTGGGCCTCGAAATATGATGATAGCCGTTTTGGCAGCTCTGCGGCGCACCACACTTGGGTTAAGCACAAAACCGAGTCAATGATTAACTTGTGGGTAGACACGAAAGCAACAGAAGCGGCTTGTCCCTCTCGCGAACGGCGTGTGTACTGCGTACGTTTCTTGTCACAGACATAGACCACCAGACCATCACTACTAGCCAACCAACTTCCGTTCATACCGACCACCAATATCACTGCCCTCAACCCACTCGTTTGGAAGGAATGATTGGCCATCGGTGAGCGGTCCTGTGGGAACAACGCTCCGTCCTCTTGAGGACGGGTGGTCTAGCAGCTAAGGCGTGCAAAACATGAGTACGCCCCCCCAGGGGAGCCTCTCTTTTTTTCCCCAAGAGTAATCTCCTCCCTCTGCTGCCCTGAACGTACCCAATTTCGTCTGTTGATTCTTGCCTTGCCCACCTCGACCCATGGGGGGCCAGGCGGAGAGGGATGCTCTACGGCAGGGGGGTGCGCGACCTGCCCGTTCATGAAGATGAATGACTTGCACTCTCTCTTGGACGTGGTTGGTGACGCGAACGAGTCCGGCGCGGTGCCGGGTGAGATTTTGGCTCTGTGGGTCCTCTACTGTTGTCGTTGTTGCGTCACTATGAAAAACACGATTGATGTTGTTGCTATCCATGTGTTGTTACCGTTGTTGTCGTCACTGTTGCTGCTGTCGGTGCTCCTGTTGTTTTTGGTGGTGGTGTGGTTGCGGGGATTCGCTGGGGGAATACTCTTCGGTTGATTGCTTCACCCGACGGCTCCATCGCCAAGCGGACGAGGCGAGCTGTTCATGAAGCAACTCATTCCGTTGCCTGATCATCGTTACCCTTGTCACATGGCTCGATTGTTGAGGTTCTCGGGACGGGTTGGGTTGGTTCGTGTGGGCCGGGTGAACCAACAGGTCTGAACATTCAATTCCCCCGTGCTGCTGATATACAGTCAGATAGATCGCATGCAAGGACGGTCCTACCAAAGATCTTTCGTGTGCCTCGAACGCATGATCTGATATCTTTCTCCGTTCTACCCTTCCTTTTTGGCCGGCCTCTGTGACTCTTCGTCCGCCATAGACGTGTTGAAGGGTTTCCTTCCGAAGAGGCGAGCCTTCACCATTGACGGCCAGGACAAGACGGAGCTAGGGGTGGTCCCGATCATGCACATGCGAGACCTCATGAAAGACGGGTGAGAAAATCACAAGGATGATACGAAAAGAAAGTCTGGCAGGCATTGATCGTTGTTTTGTCCAGCGTTTGAGAGCAGCCACTGCTCTCCTTCTCTGTGGCGGCTGCAGACAGAGTTCTGCGAGGGTATGAACAGCACCATAGTACCCCGCCGGATTGGCCACTGTTGCAATGTGGTTGCATCATTGTTTTTGATGGTCGGCAAACTGTGTGTGTTTTGTTGATACGCGCTCCGTCTTGGAGACTGATCCTTTTACCATTAGGTTCAGGACGTCAGCACAATCGTATTCTTGTGCTTTCAGGAGGTATGGGTATTTTGGTAGTGTGGCAGTAGAACGAGTTCGCCTGCGGAAGTCTCTTTTAGGTCACGCTTTCATTCTGCGGCTTTGAAAGAGCGTCACTTCAAAGTATCCCACGTGATCGCAAGAACTCCGGCTCGTCTGATTGGGGCATCGCCTTCGATGAACACTCTGTTGTCGACACTCCTCCCCTCAGACACACTAGGCCATGCTGGCATACAAGCGCTTCTACAATGATCTTTAGATACGTACTCTCCGTGCACATTTCTATGCCAGGCACATAGCGTGGATCTGAAAGCACGCAGATACTTATCTTGTTGTGCTTCAACCGTTCGCCGCCCCGCCTGTACTGGGGCATCGGCAGTGGGTTGAAAAGGCGGGAAGTGATATCGATGGGATGTAGATGAGGCTGGAGAAAAAGTTTTTGGGCAGTTGACAAAATGGGGTATACCCCGCGTGTTTGGGCACAAAATGGGGTATAGTTTTTTTCGGTGCAGGGCGCAACGCCTGACACCGGGTAGAACCTTCAAACCGCCTTCTAACGCCTCAACCCCATGCGCCAGGTCCTTAGAAAAGACGCCCCACTTATTTTTTTGTTTTTCACCCACAGGAACAGAGTTAGCTAGGGCCTGGAAGAGGGGAGCTTGTCGGAGGACCCCATTTTGTTCCCGAAACCGCGGGGTACACCCCCCTGTCAGCTAAAAGTTTATCTAGTACCCCAAAACTGTTCACAAACGTACCCCATAATGTTCAAGGCATACCCCTTTTGTTCAATGGTGACGCTCCTGCGGACTGTCAAAACGGCAACCAACAACCAACAGCAGACCACCATATCTCGGTATCTTCTGTCTCCTTGCCTCGCCGCAGATCACAACAAAGCCTGTATGTTGCACCGCAGACCACCATACCCCAACATCCTCTGTCGCCACACCTACGGTGATCTGCGGTTGGTTGTTGGTTGCCACTTTGACAGTCCGTAGGAGCGTCACCATTGAACAAAAGGGGTATGCCTTGAACATTATGGGGTACGTTTGAGAACAGTTTGAGGTACTAGATAAACTTTTAGCTGACAGGGGGGTGTACCCCGCGGTTTCGGGAACAGAATGGGGTCCTCCGACAAGCTCCCCTCTTCCAGGCCCTAGTTAACCCTGTTCCTGTGCGTGAAAAACAAAAAAAAGTTGGGCGTCCTTTCTAAGGACCTGGCGCATGAGGTTGAAGCGCTAGAAAGCGGTTTGAAGGCGCCTACCCGGTGTCAGGCGTTGCGCCCTGCACCGAAAAAAAGTATACTCCATTTTGTGCCCAAACACGCGGGGTATACCCCATTTTGTCAATTGCCCAACATTTTTCAGCCACCTTTGGCAAAGTAGGAAGGAACGATTGGCGATCGTTGATCGGTCCTGTGGGAACAATGCTTCGACCTCTCGAGGACGCGTGGTCAATGGTCTCACCGCTAAGGCATGCAAAACATAAGAGTACCCCTTCCCCCCTCCCCCCTCCCCGCGTGATCCTTTGACTACATGACATTGCCGCCGAACGTCTTCAGGGCTCTCTCGGACGACCTTGTATCGGACGTGCAATCCAGATGTGGCTGAGATGTTCCCGGCGGGGCAGGTGGTCCACCTGATTCGGAATTAGGCCGGACATGCGTTATTCCTTGCAAGCACGCATTGTGAATGTGTGGACGGCCGAAACGCCGAAGTATCGGTGATGGTAGGAACCTTTGCACGAAGAGTTAGTCTCCTGGGCGATCGGAGCCCCAGGACCGTCGGTGTCACTGACGGCGAACATGAACCTTGACTGTCAGCCATCTGTGCGGAGACACTTTCGCGTCACCGGTAGATACAGCGGTCGCTGCGTTAGGGGAAGACGACGACCAGGGTGGTGGTGTTCAACGGTTATACTTCGTAATAATAAAATTATTTTGCGCTTTGCCCTTGAAGTGCAAGCGATTGTGGTCTTTTGTGACGAGCCTGCAGTATGCCCAACACCTTTTCTAGGTGTTTAGCTTGTGTATTCCAGAGCCACGGGAATCATCTGTTATGAAACATCGGGAGTTGGGCCAGCTTTTTTGAGGGGTCAGATGGGCAAGATTAAGTCAGCCGCATTCATGCGAGTCGCGCTCCAGTGTACAGGATAAAAGGTTATATCCGGGTCAAAGGATGGCGTCCTGGAATCGTTGTTGCTACTGGGGATACCGTTGCTTGGTTCTTGCTGCCGTCACGTCCCCCGTGTAACACAATGAATCACAGTCATCGACGATTCTCCGCGATCACACATGCTCCGTACTCGGCATCACGGAGCGAATAAGAGAGGTACCTCTCACACCAAACGTTTTAAGTAAGATAGGCCAAAGCTGTAGAGCTATCACATCCTGACCATTGCTTTGCGACGGATATCCGTCCCTAATTATGCCGTAGGCCTCTGGCGACAGCATCTTGCTAGTGCTGGCACCACTCTCGCGCACAGCTGGAGCAACTACTTCTTGCTGGTGGGAACGTCGCCGGGGTTGTCGTTGTAGATGGTTCGGGTGGTCTGGCATGGTTGCACCACCGTTGACGGATGGACAATGTGAAGGACAGGGCGTCGAGAGACGAACGGAGAGTTGGGAAGTCTTGTCAAGTGCGAGCAGTTGAGGGGGGGAAGGGAGAAGCGGGTTTTGGGTGTCACGTGGCAGCGCCAATACTGACAGAATCGTGCTCACCTACGAAAAACGCCTCCTGACCCCGTCCTGTTTCGGTTACAGCCGGTGGCGGTGGGACCCTCGGTCACGTTGTATGCAGCTGCGCGCCGTCAAGCCCCGTTATCGTTGTCAATACGGACACCAGCTTGGGGTGCATATTTGTTCTCATCACAACGGGGTTGGGATGTTTTCGTTGGGAGGCAGCTCGCAGGACCTCCGTCCCACGCTGTCAGGAAGCTCGAGACAACAAAATGACTTCGAGATGGGTCCGGCGCGGCTTATCGTCGGACTTCAAACCGTCGGGGATAGCTGCCGCTCCCATCTTCTGACCAGGGCTCCGTGAACATGGTCATCACACTGCTCCACATGTTACGGCGATTGCCAAGTGGCAGAGGCAGCCAGTTTCGACGGCTTGAAGTCCGACAGGAAGTCTCGTTGTGCCCATCTCAGGGACGTTGCCGTCGTGATTTCCCTGACAGCGTGAGATTGTGCCTGGGGGGGACCCCCCCTCGGACACCGCGAGGGCGAGAAGAACAGGTGCCCGAACGTCCTGGGCGTTGCCGCGTTGAACACCCTCTGAAGACTGGCCCACACCTTGGCCTCTATCTTGGCGATACGCTTTTTGGCTGCAGCGTCGTCGTCAAGCTAACATACCGTCACGACCACGCCGCAACCAAAAAGCGCATTGCCAAGCCAGAGACCAAGGTATGCGCCAGTCTGAAGTGGGCGCTCCACGCGGTAACGCCCACGACGTTCGGGCACCTGTTCCTCGCCCACGCGTTGTCCAAGGGGGCTCTCGCCGAAGCAAAATCTAACACAGCTAGGGATCTCGCCACGGAAACAAACGTCGTTGAGATGGGTGCAGGTCGTGCGTGCGAGCAGTTCAGGCGAGGGTGGGGGGGCTTGCCCCGACCGTGCCCTACCTTCCCGGTCCGTACTACCATAGGACACGACGGACAGTGTAGATGTGAACCGCCCATGTTGCGAACGTTCTGCCCGAAGTCAAGCACGCTCCAACAATCACCCTTCGGTTCCCTTACCGCGGATGGCACTTGCTTTCGGCACGCAACAGGTTCGCCAAACAGAGTCGGTGTAGAACCAACGCGATTGGATCGCCTATGCTGGCTCGCTCGGAAAGAAGGCGCTGGTGCAGTCGACCCTGCTCCGACGTTGCTTGCCTGAGTGTTATCCCAATCCGTTCCACGTCGAAGCACAGAGAGAGGCCGCATAGGGCGTGGGCCCCGCGGTGTCGTGAGTCGTTGTATGCCGCTGCACGCCGTCAGGCCCGATATCCTCGGCGTCGATACAGGCACCAGCTTCATATTTTCTCTCATCACAACGGGGTCGGGGATTTCTTCAATGGCAGCACCTCCGTCCCACGCTGTCAGGGAGCTCGCGACAGCGAAACGGCTTCGAGATGGGTCCGGCGCGGCTTATCGTCGGACTTCAAACCGTCGGAGCCTCTCTCATCTTCTGAGCGGGCCCCCGTGAACATGGTCATCACACTACTAGACAATTCACGGCGATTGCAAAGTGGCGTTGTTGACTTTACCGGAACATTGCTTGGAAGATAGCAGCGGCAGCCACGTTCGACGGCTTGAAGTCCGACAGGAAGTCTCGTTGCACCCATCTCCACGACGCTTCCTTCATGAGCTCCCTGACAGCGTGAGATCGTGATTCTGCGAGAGCCCCCTCAAACACCGCGAGGGCGAGAAGCAGGTGGGCGAACGTTGTAGGCGTTACCCCGTTGAACAATCACTTCTGGTCACACTTTGGCCTCTACCTTGGCGATACGCTTCTTGATTGCATTGACGTGGTCGAGCTCCCACACCGTCACTCTCACTGTGTGCAACGTGTGGGAGCCCGATCACGCTGCAACAAAAAGTCCATCGCCAAGCTAGAGGCCAAGGTGTGCGCCAGAAGTGAGTGCTCAACGCGGAAACGCCCATAACGTTCGCGCACCTGCTCTTCGCCCGCGCGCTGTCCGAGCGGGTATCGCCGAATCAAGATCTCAGACGGTCAGGGAGCTCACGACGGTAAACATCGTTGAGATCGGTGCAGCTCCGGTTTCGTCGTATTTCAAGCCGTCGAAATTGGCTGCCGCTGCCATCTTCTAAGGAAGGTCGACCGTACATACCGTCCTACACCCGGCACCGCTCTCGAGCCTACAGGTATTCGTGGTGGAGGACCGTGGAGGCGGTATACTGCGTCGGCGAGGGTTCGAATGGTAACGTGTAGCACCGCCGTTGCCGGAAGGAAGACAAAGGATGGCGAAACGGGACGTTGGCCGACGGACAGGGCGTCGAGAGCCGTCGACGCTTACGTCGTGCGTGCGAGCAGTTGAGGCGAGGGTGGGGGGCTTCCCCGACTATGGCGTGCCCTATCTTCCCGGTCCGTACTACCATGGACATGGTGGTAGGCATGAGCCGCCCATGTTGCAAACGTCTTGCCAGAAGTCAGGCACATTCCAACCGCTAGCCATCGGTTATCTTACCGCGGATGGTACTGGCTTCCGACACCGAACAGGTTCGCCAAACTAAGTCGGCGTCGGTCCGATCCGATCGGTGCGTCTATGATGCCCCGCTGGGAAAGGGGGTACTGGAACAGTCGAGCGGGCGTCGACCCGCCTCCAGTCAATACGAAAGAGCGTGGTTGGTTATAAAATCGCTTCTCCAGCTTACTCGCGTGACGATAGAGCCCGCGACCATTAAAAAAGACACAAAAGAAGTTCTGCTTGCCTGAGCGCTATCCCAATCCACCCCACGTCGAAGCACTGAATCCGCATAGATAGGTCGCAATTTAGTCGTTAGCTAGACGCGCTCGGAACGGAAGAGGATCACCGGGAAAGAAGAGAGACACGGACAGAGTGTGATAGAGAGCCCGGCGTCGCGAAAATGTTGTGGAGTGAACGTCTACCACGCGCCATCGCTCCGTTGCCAGCCGACACCATTAGTGCCGACACCGGATGTGATTGTATGTACTGTCATCTTCACGGGGCTGGAGCTCTCGTCTTCGGGATACAGCTCGCCGTACCTTGCATTTTCCACGCCAACGACGCCACTCCTTACAAATCTGGGGGATCTGTCGAGCAGTATGAAGACCATCTTCACGGAGCACTGCTGCTGAGAATATGGCAGGGTGAACCAGTTCCGACGGCATAACGTCCGTGGAAACGCCGAGCCGTACCCATCTCGAAGCGTCGCCGTCGCGAGTTTACTCACAGCGCGGGTCTGCGCCTGGACGAGAGCCCTCTCGAACAACGTACGGGCGAGGAACAGGTGCACGAACATCGTGGGCGTTGCCGCGTTGAGGGCCCACTCAAGACTTGCGCACGCCTTGGTATCTATCTCTCAGCCATACGCTTCTTGATTCCATTGACGTGGTCGGGCTCCCACTCGTCGCATACAGCGAGCAATGCGGCGAGGGTGTTCTCCGGCCCGGTCTCCTCCTGCTTGTAGGCCATCAGCAGGCGCACCATTGGGAGCAGATCACCTTCGTCATTCGCCATCTTCTCGTCGGCAGCCGCGGCCAATAACGTTTCCGAATTGACGATGGCGAGAGTGATGGATATCCGAGGTCGCAAGGTACGAGGGGAATACCGGCACCGACAGTCAGACCCGGTAGCGATGTCGACCATTGCCGGGGTGAAACGCCGAAACAGCTGGCGCAACCGGCCCCTCAGCATGTAAAAACCGAGTTGAACGTTGCCGCTGTCGGTGTCTCGCTCAGCAAACAAGTGTTGAAGCATGATGTTGGTCTCGGTATCTTCTGTGGGGAGAGCGATGGCCCCTTGAAGGGGTTGCGCCGCGGCCAGGTGGCCCTGAGAGGTCAGCGCACGTTGGTAATGATCACGAAAGTCAGGGTGGCGTTGAGACAGGTGGGTGGGAGGCTAAACGAAGCTGGGGCACTCCAGCCGGAGCGCTTCAGCTACGTTGAGCCATCCACCCAGCTGTGTCATCACCAAGCTGTTCTCCGTGAAACATCATCAATACCCTCTGACCTCTCAGGGCCGCCCCGCCGTGGCGGAACCCCTTCAAGGGGCCATCGCTCTGTGCACAGAAGAGGCCAAGATCGATAACATGCTCTAGCACCTGTTCACCAAGCAAGAAAATGACTACGTCAACGTTCGCGTGGGCTTTCACATGCTGAAGGGTCGCCAACCCCAGCTGTTTAGTCCCTTCACGCCGGCCGCAATCGACATTGCCACCGGTCTAACTGCTGGTGCCGGTGTTTAAGTCCCCTCGCACCCTGTGGCCGCGGACGCCATAGCTCTCACGATCGTCAACTTGGCAAGGTTCACGGCGACCACTGCCGATGAGGGGATCGCGGATGGCGACCGCGATCTGCTCCCCCTGGTGTGCCAGCTGATGACCCACAAGTTGGAGGAGAATGGGCCGGAGAGCACCCTCGCCGCAGTGCTCCCTGTGTGCAACGTGTGGGGGCCCGACCACGTCGCTGTAACAAACAAGAACATGGCCAAAGTGAAGCCCAAGGTGTGCGCCAGTCTGAAGTGGGCGCTCAACGCCGTAGCGCCCACGACATTCGCGCACTTGGGCATGAGCCCGTTCGGAGACTGGGCGGGCGAGGAACAGGTGCGCTAGCGCCGTGCGCGTTGCCGCGTCGAGAGTCCTCTCAAGATGTGTGCACACCTTGGTCTCCACGTTGGCCATACGCTTCTTCGTTGCAGCGACGTGGCTGGGCCCCCACAAGTTGCAAACCGCGAGGACTGGTGAGAGGGTGCTCTCCCGACTGATCTCCTCGAGTTTGTACGCCATCGGCAGGCAATCGTCACCTGTGATCTCCTCATGGGCGATCGTCTTCAATTGCCTTTCCCGAGTGTACGATGGCAGGAGTGAGGGTGTCCACGGCCATAGGGTACGGGGGGAACGCAAGACCGGAATCGGCAGCCAGACCGGAAAGTATGGTGATCTTTGTGGAGGTGACACTCCGGAACAGCTGATGCTTGTGTCCCCTCAGCATGTAACAACCTAGGCGGGCGTTGCCGTAGTCGGCGTCTTGCTTAGTGGAGAGGCGCTTGGAGCATGTTGTCAGACGCGTCTGTGGAGAGAGCGATGGCCCCTTGAAGGGGTTCCGCCGCGATCGGGCGGCCCTGAGAGATCAGCGCGTGGTGACGGATAATCACGACAATCAAGGTATGCTGAAGTAGGTTAGTGGGAGGCTAAACGAAGGTAGAGCACAGGCTACGGTGAGCTGCGCACCCAGCTAGCTCACCACCAACCTATTCCTCATGAGCATCATCAACGCGCGCCGACCCCCTCAGGGCCGCCCGGCAGCGGCGGAACCCGTTAAGGGGGGCATCGCTCTTTGCGCAGAAGAGACAGACTGCAGCCTCGAACACCTGATCATCAAACAAGAAAACGACTACGACAACGTTCAACTGGGGTTTTACATGCTGGTGGGTCGCCTGCAGTAGCTCTTCAATGAATGCACCTCCGCAATCATCAACATCGCTACCGGTCTGACTGCCGTTGCCAGTGCTGAGTTCCCGTCATGCACCCTGTTAGCGGCGGACTCCGTCACGCTTGCCATCCTAAACTCGAAAATGTTTACGCCGCCGATCGCCGCCGAAAACGTCCAGCTTATTCACGTGACGATAGACCCGGTGACCATTGCAAGACGACGAGATATTCCGCCTGTCCAATGAAGTACGAATATTGTGCGACAACCTTGCACCAGCACATCATATTGCCTGTTTCTCTCACATGCTCAGTACACACGAACGAATAGTTGTGACCGGCATACCGTATGTGGCGGAGAGGTGACAACCTCCCAAGACCCACTTTCATAGCTCCATTGCCCCACAACAAACGGGGTGCGGACCAACACGATGCGTCTACGGAAAGCCCTTGACGGGATGTTTCCGAAACCACCACTTTTGATGTTGACGCAATCTTGGTTGTGGAGCAATCGACCTCTGAAAATCGATCTACGGGGGGTGCCATCTCTCTGCCTCCTACGGTATACTGCTCAAGAACCAATAAGCAAGCAGAGAACGTTCGGAATGAACACTGCTGTCGCGACCACAAATTGAACCGGGTTCAATTGACTTGCTGTCGCAGCAAAAGTTTAGCTTACCCCATAACCAAGTTTCTGAACTACATCGGGTCATTCCCACTCGATCTCACGTGTGAAGTACCGTTCGGAGTCGTCGTCCAAGCCGCGTTCCCTCTCTCATAGCTTGCCAAAGTGTCTCCCAGCACCCTGAAGAGAAAAGAAGTGGGTTCGCGAGAAAGTTCCATGTTGAGGTTGATCTTCTGTAGGAGGCCGTCGAGTTCCATCACCTGAGCAAACATTCAAAAGTTGTTTTTTGTGTATGTTCTCACCACGTTGACCTGAACGTTGAACTGCTCGCACGCTACTGACTGCGCTTCATAGAAACAAAGGAACCATAAATTGGTGGGGCCTGGCGAGCAGTCACCTGCTGCACAGGATCGCAGTCAGCTGCAAGTTTTGAGCGGTTGCTTGGGCATCTCTATTGGAGTCGCAACCGATACTCCCGTCAGAAGCCAAACAAGTCAGCCCCTTGTGTCCCTTGAAACCCTCACTTCTGTAAATATACCAAGAATTGCGCGGGGGCACCTTTTTTGGTCGATTGTGACGGCCCTCGGAGCGGGGCCAGGGGAGAGCGCAGCGGAGCCGGGAGATTTCGATCAGTGGACCTGGATAAATGCGATGGTGTTTTCTCTCGCCAGGATTGCGTGTGTTTCGCTGTGGAATCATAGCAATATCAACCGCAGCCACGAAAACGTCTCGCCATTCTGTTGCTGCGTGATATCCTGTCCACTCTTGTTCGTTTGAACCCCCTCACCCGCAAAGACTCCAAACCGGAAAGGCAGCCAGCAACCGTTTGGACCCCCTCACCCGCGAAGACTCCTAACCGGGAAAGCAGCCAACAACCGGCTGTACCCGACGAGCGCTTGCGGACGGTCTCCTCCTGTGCCTCATCGCCTTCATCCGTAGACGATATGTACTGCGAACTCCCTCTTCTCCGGGCGACTTGTAGTTTGCTGTTTCCTTGAGTCTCCCCACGGAAAAGACCGAGAACGTCTTAACGATCAGCCAACAACCCGTAACCGTCGGACTCGACGACGCGTGCTGGTCCACGGGATTCAGAACGGGGCGCGTGACGACAGGATATTCACATGTACATACATACAGTATTCATCCTGCAAAACACACAAAAACCGGACCGTAACTCTACAGCAATAGTTACATAGTATTACATACGTGTGGGTCCCCCTCCTTCTCGAAATTTCATGATGGAGGGCCCACTTCTCCTCGCTCCCCTTGCGTGTCTAGTACAAGAGATAAAAACGAGTCTCCCCCTTCCAAGTAACTGCTGACTGCTGACTGCTTACAGTGTTCATGCGGGACAATCTCTCGCCGACGGGACTGTGGGCCGGGGCTGTAACAATAAAAAACATGCCACGCAAGACACAGAAAACTTCCGAGATTTGAAATTTCGCGCGTTTCTTGGTTGCAGAGGTTCTGAGGTTAGTTAGCTTTGCTCACCCGCACTCACTTTGTGGTCGTCTTCGTCGCCGTCACCCCAAACTGCGCACGGCACGACAGCACGATAGACGTCTATTATACCCAGCAGCTTATTACTCTCCCCCATCAAAGGAGAACACCACGTCAAGTGGAGTAAACATTTTACCCTTGACCGCTGGGCCCATCAGGAGGGTTGTGCTGCTGAGGTGTACTCGGAGTTACACCTGCACCATGGCGAGCCAGGGACAGCAACCGCAACAGCACCAACGGGTCTCAGAATCCAGCCACCAGCTCAGTTTTAGGGCGAAACTGCGGGGGGTGGAGGAAAGCATCTTCGATCTCGTCTGTGCCGGGACTAACAGAAGGAAGTGGTCTGAGTGGCTGCGAACTCCGCTGGAACACGCCGCCGGTGCGGGCAACCTTGATCTCGTGACGAAGCTCCAGGGAGCCGGGGCGGGCGGGAGTGCTCTCCATCTGGCGCTTAAAGCAGGCCAGGATGCACTCGCACGGGGGTTGCTGGAGATGGGAGCTCCCTCGAAGGAGAAAGATGACAGTGGTGATACCCCTCTCCACCTTGCTGCCGCCAACGGCCTTGGCAATGTCGTGTCCTTGCTGCTTCGTAACGGGGCTGAGGTGGATGTGCTAGACAGCAAGGGCCGAACGCCAATTCATCTCTCAGCACAGCGTGGATCTCTGCCCGCCGTTCAAGCTCTGCTGGACGCCGGTGGAGACTCGAGCTTTCGGTACGGGAAGGACAAGGCGTTTTCGGCGCTGAGCCTGGCTGCTAGACGTGGGCATGTTGAGGTCATGCAAGCGTTGATTCGGCACGGAGTGGACGTCAATGCCCCTGACTCGAACGGCTGCACGGCCTTGCACTCGGCTGCGATGGGGGATACAGTGGGTGCAATCAACGCGCTCATCGAGGCTGGGGCGAAGATCAACGCCCAGGGTGGCACGTATGGCAAAAGGTACACACCTCTGCACATGGCCAGCGAGCGAGGTTCGTCCAAAGCCGCACTATCCCTGGTGAAGCACGGAGCGGACGTGCATAGGTCAGGGAAGGTGTGTAGCTTTGGGCGGGATTGCTCGAACGCTCTTAACCTTGCAGCCCGTAACGGCCACACCGCTATCGTGAAAACGCTTCTCGCAGCCGGTGCCAACGCCAATCTTCGCCCAGCATACTCACACCATTCAGCGTTGGACTCGGCTTTTAAGGGAGGGCACGCTGAGGTTGTGACGACCTTGATCCAGCACGGAGCGATTGTCGACGCTACAGACCCATGGGGATGTTCGCCGCTACACAAGGTCAGCGGCGAATCTAACGTAGCTGTGATCGATCAGCTTGTGGCAGCCGGGGCTTCGGTCAATGGCATAGCGGACCGGTTCGGTAGGACACCCCTCCATTGCGCCTGTACGGGCGATTGCCCTGAAGCCGTCGTGTCGATGCTGCGGCATGGGGCTCGTGTCGACGTGAAGGATGATGCCGGTGATACGCCTCTCCATGCGGCATCCGCTGCTGGACGCTCCGAATGGATTCGCGCACTTATAGACTACGGGGCTGACATCGATTCACTCAACGCGAAAGGCCGCACGCCGCTCGCGTTGACCGCCGAGGGCGGCTGCGTAGGCGCTGCGACAGTCCTGCTGGACGCTGGGGCAGACGTCAACGCTCCCGCCGACTACGCCAATGGATCGGCGGCTCTATCCTTGGCCACCTTGAGCGATGACGGCGTGGACGCCACCATGAAAGTCTTGATTCAGCACGGAGCTGACGTGAACGCGAGGGACACTGATGGATTTTCCGCTTTACACCATGCCGCTTTTCACAACGAGGTTGGCGGTATCGATGTTCTCATCTCTGCCGGGGCCATTTTCGAGGTACTGGACAACCGCAAGAGAACGCCTCTAGCCGTCGCGTTTCGGTCGGCCCATGCTCGTTGGGAGGAGGAGGACAACTGTGGTTCTGAGGAGTTTGCAGCCATGGTCGCCTTGTTGAAGCACGGCGCCGACCCCAACACCCGGAACATACAAGACGGTTCTACAAATTCTTTGCTCTACTACTTGGTAGGTTGCGGATGCCCGAGTTCTGTACTCCGGGAGCAGCTTGCTGCTGGTCCGAACCTGGACGTCCGTGACGACGACTTCGGATTCACTCCACTGGTGGTCTCTCTAGCCCACCCCGAGTTGTTCTCCGAACTACTGCTGCACGGGGCGGACGTGGATGTTCAAGCCGGCAACGGTCAGACCGCGTTACACCGGGCGGTGGAAATTGACAACGGTTTCTGTATCGAGGCCCTCATCAGCGCCGGGGCCTCAATCAATGTTAAGGACAAGCAGGGCCACACGCCTCTTCATAATGCCGCTGCGAGCGGTCGTCGGAACGCCATGCGGATGTTGCTAAGGAGCGGTGCGGACATTGCGTCGGTGGACAACGACGGCTCCTCGGCGTTGCATCTGGCGGCGAAATACGACTATTACAGTTCGGGTGATTCCGTGATGGCCACAACCATGGACCTGCTGCTACGATGGGGTGCTGACGAGAGTGCGGTCGACTCAACCGGTATCACCCCCGCAATCGTGTGGAGAGACAATGAATCCATGGACAATCTTTCATGGGAGAAATGGCAGTCTGTGCGGAAGATGTTCGAATGGGCACCAAGCGACAAAGCATGGCGTCGACGGGGCTGGCTAGTTCTGTGCCGTGCGTTCCCGCACAGGGTGCGGTTGAAAGCGGACAACGTTGGAGCTTGTCCCGGGGCCGGCCGAAGTGTTCGAGCACGGAGCGTTGGTGCTGGGGCGGGGTCTCACAGCAGCAGCGAGCCTCGTGTTGGAGAAGCTGGGGGAGGGTCGGTAGGCCCCCTACCTTGCGAGAAAGTCGGTGTTGCTGGTGGCTTGAGTGCGTTGGTGGCCAAGGTGGTGGGTTTGCACGAGGATGGCGTGTTCAGGACTATCATGGAGTTCGTGTAGACCCTAAGGTGAGATGTGACTGCAAGGGTTTGTGTGAAGTATGGTCGGAGTGTGTGGGCAGGTCTGTCCCATTGTGGCGTTGCAGGTAGATTTCGTCCGTTCGTGCTTCAACGGCTGGAGCTTGTGGTAGATCGATTTAGCGAGGATGTTGAACCACTATGAGAAAGTTGTTGCGGCTCGGTTTTGTCCGCGTCAAACCAAACGTGTCCTGCCCCCTTTTCTTTTCGGCCACCTTGAGACAAAGAAATAGAGCAAAGCGTTGGTGAAAGTGTAGGTAGAGCGTATCAGCCGTCGGTCAGTTGGAAATTGAAGAAAACTTTGCCTTTCCCGTGCTTGGATCATTTGAAGTGTACATGCTTGGATGATGCATCTCAAATTGCTGTGTATCTTTGAAATTCATTTTAAGCGAGGGACATCAGCTGTAGAACTAGTGAACGTTTTGAACACGCGTTATGTTTATAACATAATCAAGAATAAGATTCATCTACAGCTGTTTCATCACGTGCCTATATCTAGAGTTGGAAAACCCCTGTTTGGATCCCAAAGCCTTGTTGGGCTTTCAGTCGCCTTGATGATCGTTGAAATTCAGGGCTAACAATAATTTACATGATTGTTGGTGTCTTGTATTTATGTGTATGTCCGCATCATGTCGGAATCGCCCGAATACGTTCATGTTGCAAATGCACACCCCAAAACCCAAACAGGTGTGGATGGCCTCGTGAAAGAACAGCCGTGATTTATCTACCATTAAGGCCATTTGTTACGGTGTCTTTTTTATTGATATTATTTCCCCCAAACGAGACGACCCAAAAAATGATCTACAAAAAAGATGACCCCCTTCTTGCGGTGCTGGTCCATTCTTTTTTCTATTCCGAGTCATCGACCGAAAAAAAGAGACCTGCAACGGCCGTTCGTCACACATACATTCACCTTCCACCGCTCGCTATGGTGTTCCGGTGATATCTCCGCATACAGTGAAGCAACAGCGATGACAAAGGCATCCGTCATGAGCTGTGTGTATGGTCCGTCTCGGGTGGTGGCTGTTAGAGACCACAGGGCGATTGGAGGCACGGAAACTGAGATGGCGAGGGTCAACATCACGCCGGAAAAATACCCACCGCGCCAGCAACCAGTTTTTTTTTGCTCTTTGGCCTGTGTCGCAACTTTGGTTTATCGATGCTCCCTCGCCACCCACTCCAGCACCAGCGATGACAAAGGTATCCGCCATGAGCTGTGTGTATGGTCCGTCTTGTGTGGTGATTGATACAGACCAGGAGGCTGAAGGGCGCTCAAAAATTGTGAGCGCAAGAGTCGTGAACAATTGGGAAAAATGACCCGCCTCGTCTTCAAGCAATTTGTTTTGCTCTTTCGCCCGTGTCGCAACTTTGGTTCATCGATGCTCCCTCGCCACCCACTCCAGCAACAGCGATGACAAAGGTATCCGCCATGAGCTGTGCGTATGGTCCGTCTTGTGTGGTGGTTGACACAGATCAGGAGGCTATAGGACGCCCAAAATTTGGGTTCGCAAAAGTTGACAGCACACCAACAAAGACCCCCCGCTGCTGCGTCCAGACTCTCTCGGATCGTTTGCCGCTTGTTTGCGCCGCACACATTGGGTTGTCCACTTGGTCCAGCCGAATGAAAAAACAACGCTACCGCTGATGCTATTGACTCTGCACCAGTATCATGACACAGCTCGTGTGAACACCGTTAGAGTTTGCGGGGATCAACCGTCGAGAGATTTGTAGGTAGCGTCATGTGGTTGTGACCAAAAAAAGACCACAGAAAAAGACAGCCCCGACTTATCCAAAACTGCCCCAGAAAAAGACAGGATGGGCTGTCCAAAAGGAGTTGTCATTTTTTGTTGGCCTTTTTTCCCTGAAAAAGGACACCGTGAGAAGTTCTGTGGCCAGTTGTCTTTTTTTGAGAAGGAAAAAAGAAAAAGACAGCTCCAAAAAAGAACTGTAAGAAATGGCCTAAGCGTTTCCGTGTTAAACAGAGTTTTACTGCGATATCCTTATCGAGACTAGTGCCCGGCAGCAAGGGCACGTCTGCTCGGATCATGAGTTGAGATGGAACCAGCGCACTGGAATAATTATGACGTGGGCGGGCCCTATCAGCATGCTGTGTGCACTCTTGGAACTGTCACGTTGGCCGTTCGTTCCGTTCGCGTGTTTCTCGATCCTGTTTCGTACTGAAGGTGGTGAATGTGGCACCCGGCATAAACGGAAGCTTGGTCACAACGCGCGCGTGCATGAAGAGCGATGAACTGCTTCGTCCACGTGTCGTGGTGTGTGCATGGTGTATTTGGTCGTGCGTTGTGAGTATTGGTCGCGCGTGTTTGACCGATGGCAGCTCAGTTTTTCATGTTGAAAGGCCGTGACCGTGTCTTCAGAAAACGTGTCTTCAGAAAGTACCATCGATTCACGTAGAACTGTGAGCGGTGGGCCCATTTGAGTGGGGTGGAACTGCGTAGCACGGATATTGCGAGTTAGCCAGTGTCTTCTTTGGTGTGCCGTGAGGTTGTTGGCATCCATTGTTTTTGCCCTCGTAACATTTCAGGTAGTCATGGGGGCAGTTCGTGCTACCTGACTATCCCCCCCCACGCCCTTATTGTGGGTGCCAGAGAGATACTTGTCTCGTTGATGAGGCCAACAGAGACCTTTCTGGTTTTGTGAGGGCACGCAGAGATGCTCCCTAGGACAGTACAAATGATGATACGTGGTGTGCGCGTGGTAAATTTTGGCTTGCCCTTGTTTCAATGTGATGTACCAAGCCCTCCTCACGCCCAACATGGTGGCGTTGGCCTCTGGTCGGCATAAATCGAACCGATGGTGCACGCTCCCTTATTTTGCAGCGGTACGAGAATGGCTTCTTCAGCTTTTTTATTGTTCATTTTTCTTTGGCGATGGATGAATTTCCCTTCTTTGGGCTTGGCCATGCCCTATCTTGTTTTTTTTACTGATTGGTCTTGTTTTCTTCTGGACGTTAGTTTCTGTTCGCGGATTGGTGGGGCTATCTCTAGACACTTCGACTTTTTAGCCCTTGTTTGGGGTGTCTTGTGACCACAATTCGATTATTTGCTTTTAGAAAGCCTATGTTGCGCTAACCCTGCGAAAAAAGGGAGTACCACTGGGTGGTGGTCAGATCGTCCTTCATATCGCCGTCAACAGCAAAAAGAAGAAGTAGCGGCTGATTGAAGTTTATTGTTCTTAAGAACATACGAACAACGGGCCGGTGGTAGCTGTGAAGTGATTCTCCCTTTTGTGCGGCGATGATTTTTGAAGTCTGGAGTCTCTAACGGGCAACAACCCGCATTTCTCATCACGCTACCCTGACACCCTAAAATTGACATCGATCGTTGCCGGTAAGCCACTGCTTAGGGCAGGGCACGCGATTCTACGCCCAAACAACTGTGATCTGAAACTCGGTCCTTCGATATTCTGCGTAAACCAAATCAGGTCGATACTCTAGGCCAACTCGACCAGGTGTATGTCTGCTTCTCCTCCCTATGCTTGGCGGTATGCAAATATCAGTGCTATTTTGTCGTTGAGCTTTCAAGGACACGCTTCCTAGGCGTAGACGGGCGGGCCCACCGCGAGATCACCCATCACTTGTCTGTAGTGGGTGTAGCTTTGATATGGACGCTTGCTACATGAGACCCCCCCCCCACCGTCCGCTAGCGAAATTCCGTTTGTAGAAAATCCTTGGGGGGTGCAATGGGGATACTAAGAAATCGATAGAAAGGTCGAAGATGGAGAATACCTTCATTCTCGAGACTATTGAAGATACAACATCAGATAGAGATACACCAGTCCCGAACCGGCACCACGTAAACAAGCTGGCCCTGATGTTTCGATGATGGCACGTGAACGTGCGTGCAAGGCGGCATGGTACGGCACACGGCACACAAATGCGCCCACAGTCCCTTCCCTCTCGCCACCCCCCACAATCGAATCGGTGGTAAGTGACCGGCTTATCGCCTCCCTTCGAGACCTTCCTGTTGTTGTTGCTGGTGCTCGCCGTAGAAACTACAAAAGATCGCGACGGCGAGTCGCTCGAGTTACGATACCCCGCCAATAGCAAACATTTTTTCAACGCCGCGGCCACAGTTTCGCTCCTGCGCTTGTCTTGTTTAACCTCTTCGAAGGACAGAAGCTGCTGCTGAAGCAGGCTTTCGTTTGTTGGGGACAGCGAAGTTGCTTGTCGCAACAGGTTGTCGGCTCTTATTCTCGAAGTAACGGACAAGTGACAAGAAGGCAAGGTGGCACACAAGACGGGGGGGTCCATCACGTAAGAGGCGTCGTCCACTGCACACACCCCATTTGAAATAACTCTCAGCATACGGGGGATACTGCGATGCGTGTGATGGAGTGAATTGCTCGCGCAAGCTTTCGGAAAGTTTTTCACGGCCTCTGAGGTAGTTTCGTGAGCCGTAAAGGGCTGCTCCGAGAGAGGGTAGAGAAGGGATCGCCAAAATCAGCGGACGTAGTTCACGACGCGCTGCAAGTACACAATCGGTATACAATAGGTCCCGTGCTAAACTGCACATGCTTCAATCAACCTCCACCACGAAAACGCGGCTCCATCTTGATGGTTGATCAACATGACGTAATTATTCTTTGCCGTCACGTTTAGTCTCTCACGTTGCGATGACCGTTTCGGACATGCCGTTCCTTCCTGGCAATGTCGCCATACAGCACAACCTGAGCTGCGTGGCAACAAAAGTGTATTGCCAAGACGAAGTGGCGTTGTTGTCTTTAACGGAACACTGCTTGGAAGATAGCAGCGGCAGCCAGTTTCGACGACTTGGAGTCCGACAGGAAGCCTCGCTGCACCCCATCTCAGCGACGTTACCGTCGTGAGCTCCCTGACAGCGTGGGATTGTGCTTGGGCGGGAACCCCTTGGGGCACCTCGAGAGCGAGAAGAACAGGTGCCCGAACGTCCTGGGCATTGCCGCGTTGAGCGCCCACTGAAGACAGGCGCACACCCTGGTCTCAACCTTGGCGATACGCTTCTTGATTGCAGCGGCGTCGTCGGGCTCCCACAGCGTCACTCTCGCTGTGTGAAACGTGTGGGAGCCCGACCACACTGCAACGAAAAAGCGCGTTGCCAAGCTTGAGGCCAAGGTCTGCGCCTGTCTGAAGTGGGCGCTCAGCGCGGCAACGCCCACGACGTTCGGGGAGCTGTTCCTCGCCCGCGCGATGTCCGAGGGCGCTCTCACCGAAGCACAGTCTCAAGTGTGGGAACCCATGACGGGAAAGTCGGCGAGATGGGTATAGTGAGATTTCCTGTCGGGTTTCACGCCGTCAGAATTGTCTGTCGCTGCCATGTTCAATGGAAGGTCGACAGAACCGTACTGCACCCGGCACCGCTCAAGAACCTACCAGTCTCCGTGGTCGAGGAACGCGGAGGCCATACTGCCGTCGAACCAGGTTCTCATGGTGATGTGTAGCACAGCCGTTGCCGGGAGGAAGACAAAAGACGGGGGAAACGGGATGTTGGTCGACGGGCAGGAAGCCAAGAGACGTCAACGCTTCCGACGTGCGTGCGAGCAGTTTAGGCGAGAGTCGCCGAACCGAGTTGGCGTAGAACCAACCCGCTGGGGGAGTCTATGCTGCCCCGCTGGGAAAGGGGGCGCTGGAGCAGTCGGCCCTGCTCTGATCTTGTTCGCCGGAGTGATAACCCAATCCATGTTGAAACGCTGAGTCCGCATAGGTCGCTATTAATCGTCAGCTACACATACTCGCAATGGAAAGGGGCCACCGGGAAGGAAGAAGGAGACGGGACAGAGAATGAGAACGAGCCCGGATAATTGTCGGGAAAGTATTGTGGAGTGAAAGTTTGCCACGCGCCACCGTCCCGTGTCGACACTGTTGCGGACACCGGATGCGATTGCATGTATGTGCTGTCATCTTCACGGGGTTGGAGATCTCGTCTTCGCGATACAACTTGCCGTACCCCAAACGATCCACGTCAACAACGCCACTCCTTGTTGTCCGGGTGACCTGTCGAGCAGTGTGAAGACCATGTAAAACGGGCCTGAGATGATGGCAGCGGCAACCAGTTCCGACGGCATAAAGTCCATCGAAAAGCCGATCCGCACCCACCTCGAAGCGTCGCCGTCGCGAGGTCACTCACAGCGCGGGTCTGCGCCTGGACGAGAGCCCTCTCGGACAACGCGCGGGCGAGGAACAGGAGTGCGAACGCCGTCGATGTCACGGTGTTGAATACTCACCTCACGATTTGTGCACACCTTGGTCTCTACGCTGGCCATGCTCTTCTTGATTGCAGCGACGAGTTCGGGCTCCCACACGTTGCATACATCGAGCAATGCGGCGAGGGTGCCCTCTGGCCCGGTCTTCTCCAACCTGTAGGCCATCAGCAGCCGCACCATTGGGAGCAGATCCCGTTCGTCATCCGCCATCTTCTCGTCGGCAGTCGTGGCCATTAACGTTTCCGAGTTTACAAGGGTGCGAGTGATGGAATCCGAGGCCACAGGGTACGAGGGGAATACCGGCACCGACAGTCAGACCTGGTAGCGATGTCGACCATTGCCGGGGTGAAACGCCGAAACAGCTGGTGCAGCCGGCCCCTCAGCATGTAAAAACCGAGTTGAACGTTGCCGCTGTCGGTGTCTCGCGTAGCGAACAAGTGTTGAAGCATGATGTTGGTCTTGATCTCTCCTGTGGGGAGAGCGATGGACCTTGAAGGGGTTGCGCCGCGGCCGGGTGGCCCTGAGAGGTCAGCGCACGTTAGTAATGATCACGAAAGTCAGGGTGGCGTTGAGACAGGTGGGTGGGAGGCTAAACGAAGCTGGGGCACTCCAGCCGGAGCGCTTCAGCTACGTTGAGCCATCCACCCAGCTATGTCATCACCAAGCTGTTCTCCGTGAAACATCGTCAATACCCTCTGACCTCTCAGGGCCGCCCGGCCGTGGTGGAACCCCTTCAAGGGGCCATCGCTCTGTGCACAGAAGAGACCGAGATCGATAACATGCTCTAGCTCCTGTTCACCAAGCAAGAACACGACTACGTCAACGTTCGCGTGGGCTTTCACATGCTGAAGGGTCGCCAACCCCAGCTGTTTAGTCCCTTCACATCGGCCGTAATCGACATTGCCACCGGTCTAACTGCTGGTGCCGGTGTTTAAGTCCCCTCGCACCCTGTGGCCGCGGACGCCATAGCTCTCACGATCTTCAACTTGGCAAGGTTTACGGCGACCACTGCCGATGAGGGGATCGCGGATAACGACCGCAATCT